GTGAAACATTAACCAGCTATTTCCACAGCTCCTCCCGGAAGTGGCACTTGCCCTCCGGGTTTCGGGGGTGGGGGGGCCGCCCGGCCCCGCCCGCCCTGCACCGTGGGGCCCGTCGGTCGTGACCGCGGCCTGGGGCACACCGGCTGCCTGTGACTCCGCTTCTACACGGAGCACGTCCTGTCTCCAGCAGAGCTGAGGGCAGCTAAAGCTGTCACCTATCCGGCGCTTAGGGACACTTACTTCAACAGGAGATTCTGACAGTCAGTCTAAGCGAAGCATGAACGAGCCACGGCTCGACCTGCGTCTCTCCTCTAAGAACGTGCTGCTGCAGTTGACACGGCGACAGGAGAGAACACCCCACGCTGGGACCGCGGGAAGGCAAGGGGCTGCCGTAACTTGGGTAACGCCTTCACCTACAAAGTCAGCTGATGCCGGGAGCGGCAAGTTCAAGGGCCCGCAGCCGGATTTCCAACAAACCCCATTTTTCACGCAATTCCGTGATTTTCTTTTAAAATGGCTTTTGATCACTCTAAGGCCGAGTCCTGTGTGCTGTACATCCACTTACATTTTCCAAGCCCATTGAAAACAAAGCGTGGTGATAACTAGGTTAGTGCCTGACACCCCGAAGGAACGACCCCCACCCGCCGGACGCCCAGCTCCTGCTTTCTCCGCAGACCCCCCGAGGGGGCGGAGTCCGGGCCCAGGCGGGAACCTCTCTGCTCACAAGAGCCTGCGGAGCACCGGCCGGGCCGCGTCCTGCGTGGGCGTGAGCGTCTGAAGGGGGCACCGACCGCGGCCTCTGGGGGACGTTCCGGGCTGTCCAGCCTGTCCGGCTGCTCTCACCGCGTCCGGGGGCCTGCGGACCAGGAATCGCAGTGGCGGAAGCGGGTCTGAGGTCGAGGCAACCGCAGGTCCAGTGTCCGGTGAGGGTCCCCTTCCTGGGCCACCAGGAACACCTTCTTGCTGTGTCCCCCCGTGGCCCGGGGTGAGGCCGCAGTCCGGGGTCTCTGTGGTAAGAACGCGGACCCCACCGGTGAGGGCCCCTCCCTCGCGGCCGCGCCCTGGCGAAGGCCCCGCCGCCTCCCCCAGCAGCGCGGGGACGGGTTCCTGCCGATGAGCATGGAGAAGGGGCAGACGCGGACCCACCGCACGGGCTTTCGGGGACTCTGCAGGGCCCGCGCGTCCCCGTGGAGCTGAACCGCCACCAGGAGCTGGTGACAGCACCCTCTGTGGCCTGCCGTGCGTCCTCTCGCCTGAGGCCTGGCCGTGAGTGTCCAGCCGCTTCCTCGTCACACGCACACGCCCTTCGGGCTCCCTCCCACCCTGGGGCCTTGGTGTGGCCCAGCCCTCCCCCGGCCGCGCTCTGTCCCCCCACCCGCCGCAAGTGCCCCCCGTGTCTCCAGCTGCACCTCCCGCTCCTGCCGTGGGTCTTCCTTTCCTCGCCGCTTCCCTGGAGTGGCGGTTTCCAAGGCAGTCAGCTGTCTCCTCCCACAGCCTGGAGCCCGGAGTCCAGATTCCAGGTGTGGGCAGGGCTGTGTGCCTGGCGTTGCAGGGTGACCAGTGCGTCTCTGCCCCTGCTCGCCAGGCACCTGCTGGGGGGAGAGGGACCAGCCGCGCGGAGGTCTCACCCTGCCCTGACCCTCAGCAGCTGCTCTGTGGGCTCCCCGCTCCCCAGCCCAGCGAGGGAGCCCTTGTTACTTGCCCTGCGGGGAAACTGAGGCTCGGGCAGGTGAGTTACCTGCCCCCGGTCTCCGGCTGGAGCTTGGATTGGCACCCAGGTCTCCGCAGCCCTGCGTGCACTTGGAAGAGTTAGAACCCTCTGCAGATGTCGCTGGTTCGAGTGTCTGGCAGCTGCTTCTGCTGCCGCGCCCCCAGCCTCTGCGCCGCCTGCCTGCTCCTGGGGTTTCATCTGCGCCCAGGTCTCCGGGTCTGCGCCACGGAAACAGCGGAAACCTCAGCGCAGGGCGAGCCTGTGACTGGAAACGCAGCCCAGCGGTGAGACAGGAGGGCTCTGCCATCGGTCGGCGACCCCTCGGCACAGCGGGGTAACCGGGTCGGTGTGGGGCCCGCGGTCCAGAGACCGCACCACAGTCTTGCCTGGGATTGAATTCCAGCCCACGCAGCGCGTGCCGTTCAGAGGGCGAACCCACACGCCCTTCCCACTCCCACCTGCTTGTCATCTATTATTTTGCCAGCAGCTCTGGAGACGCCTCCGAGCCGGCCTGGCCCCCATGCACGTTCCACTCTCTCCCTCTGTGTTCCTCCTGCTCCCCGTGTTTGGGTAATTGAGACCCCGGAATGAAACCAGGGTGGCCCCGACCTCCCGGCTCCCCGATGGTTCTCACAGAGTGCGGCGGGCTGCGGGCGCGCGTCTGTGCCAGGCAAGGCAGGGTGGCGGCCTCCTGCAGCCTGACCATAGCACCCTGTGCCGGTGGGAGGCGGTCACACGGAGCCGGCTGCTGTCCCCGCATACGTGGTCTCCTCACGGAGGGGCGGCCCGAACGCGTCCGGCGCTCAGGGCTGATGCTCAGGGGCCATCTCCCCACGGACGAGGCCAGAACCTGCCCACCCCGCGTGGTGCATCAGAAACGCCAGTCACGTCTAACTGGCTTTGCGCACGTTCTAAAGTCCGACCCAGGCCTTGGTGACTTGGGTCTACACTGTGCGACCCACAACCACGAGTTCTCTGAAGGTGGATTAGGGCCCCCCAAGCGTAACCTCAATGTCTGCTGTGCAAGCGCGCGGCGGCGTGGGCCGAGCACGTCGGACGACCGTCTGTGGTCTCTCCCGGGGCCCCTGTGCGTCCGGGGTCAGGCTTCTGCTGCGCTTCCAAGTCCCTTCATCTGGAACATTCTCCCTCCCTCCGCAAGCAGCCCCAAGTGCTTGCAGGTCCCGCGTGGCTCTGGCTTGGCTCAGTCCTTAGCGTTTTGTCTCCTGGAGGAGGAGCGTTGCGGGGGAGGGGTGCTGCCGAACCCCCCGTGGGGACCGAAAAGACGAGGGAGAGGACCAGACCGAGGAGGCAGGTGCCCCGGGGCCAGAGGCCGTGGGCCCGCAACGCTGCCCGGCCGGGAACAGAGATGGTGACGTGACTTTGTGCTCCAAGGGGAAACACCCTCAAAAGTCCCAGCTGTCAGCTTTAATGAAAAGAGGTTGCATGTCTCTCCTGCGCTTCATTTAGAACAGACGAATGCTTGTGTCTCACACAGGGAGGCAGCCCCAAGAAAGTGCGGGGCGTTGCCAGTCTGGGCTCTGCGCGCACCCCGAGCGCTCGCGTTTGCTTAAAGCCGTGCCGGGGCGCCTTCGCTCGGTGCCCACTTCGCAGGAACCAGTCCGGGGCCCGCTCCGGGGTGACGGCTGCGGCTCGCCACGCGTGTCCTCTGGCGGGTCCAGGCCCCACGAGGCGGCGCCGACGTCTGCCCTCCCGTCCTCGCAGCCGCCCCTACCAGGGCCCCGTGGGCCCCCACCTTCCCCCGGGAGACTGCCCCCTCCAGGCGGTTTTGGCCACTTCTAAGTGGACGGAGACGCCGGGTGGGGGAACCGCCTCCTGCACTGGAGCCAGCGGCAGGGCTGCAGACGCCGTCTCTCACTGCGCCGGACGGTCCTGGTTGGCGCCGTGACAGGCGTCCCGCTTCCCCACCCCCTCCCGGCCCCGCCCCCGCCCCCCCCGGGCGGTCACCCCCCTGTTCCCTGTGTCTGCGTGTCCTGGGCATGTTTTTTTTGGCTAACCCCTCACCTCTCGGCCACGGCCCCCTCCCCTCTGAGCTCTGACAGTCTGTTCCCTGCTTCCGCACCTCGGTTTCTATTTGGTTTGTCAGTTTAGGCTGTTTATTAGATTCCACATGTAAGTGAGATCATATGGGGTTTGTCTTTCTCTGACTGGCTTATTTCACTGAGCATAATACAAAACTGGTTTTTTCCCCCCACTCTGCTCACAAAGCACGAGGGGTTCACGTGACCCCCTAGAGCTGGCGTGTACTTGTACATCAGCAACAGAGTTGCGTCTTCGATTCCCCGGGCGCGTCGGCTCGCTGCCGCCTGAGCTGCGGGCAGCACCGCTCTTCCAAACTGCCTCCCCGGTGGGGCTGTCCCGCACACGTCCCCTGCCCGGTGCGGTGGCTGTTTGCGCGCGGAGTGTGACAGCATGAGTCACCCAAGAGGCGGCCAGAACTGCAACAACTGTGGGGAAGTGCAGATAGTCCCGTTTTCTGAAGAGCGCCATCAGGGTTAGAAAATGATTCACTTCAGCGGCCTGTGAAGAGGAGTCATTCTGGGTTCAGCAGAAAGGCGGGACCCACGTGTCCTTCGGAAGAAGGCATCGTGGGAAATGGCCGTCTGTCACGGTCCCGACGCCGGGGTGCCGTGGCCGGCGGTCGGCTCCAAGCAGAGGCGCCGTGGGCCCGGGGTCTGTGCCGGGCACGGATGCACTGAGATGGGCGATGGACCTAGAACAGGTTTTGGCTCAAGCCTTCCGCTTTATGCTGTTTTGGAGAAAAGATACTGTCAGTTTGCTGCTTGTGCGTGGGTTAGAAAATACAAACGGGAAACTCGCTTTTTAAAAAACTTTTCCCTAACTTCCCCGCCCCTGGAAATTCTGCAGATTCTGGGCGCACGTGTCACCTCTCGCTTGCCGGCTCCTTCCTGCCTCTCAGTCGGTCTCGTGACGTGGCACCTGACCGTGAGCCCCGACACCGTGTGTGTGTGTGTGTGTGTGTGTGTGTGTGTGTAGAAACCGCCCCGACACGGCTCGGGAAGGGCTGATTGTTTTTCTCACGAGGAAACACCCTGAAACGTGTCTGTCCCCGAACAGGACAGGGACCGGCCACTCTCGGCCAGCCTGGCCATTTCCACTCCCAAGGCGGGCGCCGCCGATCGAGCTGGGGGTTCTGTTTTCTCTGCTCAGCCCGTCTCCCAGGAGCGCTGCCCTGGCCGAGAAGCCACACAGGAAACCCTAAACGTACCGTCTGGGGCTTAACCCCTTCCTGTTTTCTGTCCTTCTGCAGCTTGATCGGCTCAGGATGGGGAACCACGTGGGGAAGCGAGAGGCCAGCGCCGAGAAGGGCCACAAGGTAAGACACGGGGGCTGCGAAGCCCCCCGCGCACGCCTGTCCGGCGACGACGCGCCGTCCTCTGGGCGGGCACCGCGGCTCCAAGCCCTGGAGGTGCCCGGGCCACGCCCGGTGCGCCGGCGGCCGCCGCAGCTCGCGGACCCCAGAGGCTTGGCCGCCCAGTGCCAGGGCCTCCGCAGCCCTTTCCACACACGACGGCGGGGCGTTTGCAAAGCACAGAGAAATAGGAACAGGGCGAGGGAAGGCCCCGCGAGGCCTCCCCGCCAGCAGAGAGCACCCCCTCGCACTTCCGGCGTAGCGCTGGCCGGTGCCCACCTCGTTCCCCGCCTGGTTCTGACGCTCGGCTGGGCCTCCCGTGCCCGGGGGGTCTGGGAAGGGCGGTGCTCAGCCCTGTGCCCGCTGAGCCGCTCGCAGTGGGCCACACGCCACCAGCACCCGGCCCCCGGTTGCCTCCGTCCCTTCGTCCCCTGCTTCCCTGACACCGAACGGCCCCTTCAGGTGAGGAGCAGACAAGCCTGGCACTGTGCACAACGGGGAGGCCCCTCATGGGGGGGGGGGGCTTATGTGCGTTACCCGGCACGTGAACTCATTGCATGATTGTGTGTGTTACAAGTCAAGATCAAGGTCAGTTTGCAGAACGTCAGGGCGCTGAGGGGGGCCCCTCCCTGCACATGGAAGTGGTTCTGGGGGCCCAGCGCACCAGCCCGGTGGAGCGTCTGCCCCGGAACCCCTGTGCACGGCTCTTGGGCACGTCTCCGGTGAACGGCCGCGACTTGGCCGCGGTGGCCCTCCTCTGACCGCTGCCTGGACTCGATGTCTGTGTCCGCCACGTGGGCAGCTTTCCGTAGTTTGCTTTCAAGCCTTCATCTCAAGCCCGCGAGTGGTCCCGCCGGTTGCTGTTCACGTTCCACCTCAGCTGCGGTCGCAGCGGCGCTACCGCGCTCCCCCACCCCGAGGATTTCGGGCCCCCGGAGACCGGGAAGGGATCTGCGCCTTCATGGAGTCATCACTGATTCGGGGCCCCCCCTCCCATTGAGAGGGGGACCGACTTCAGACACGACGATGCTGGTTCTAGTGAATGTCGGGTGGGGAATGATCAGAATTTTCTAAACTGGTCATCTGGCTGTAGTGCGTCAAACGCTGAGCTGGGACCCGTTCGGTTTCTGGGCGAGCCCGGCCGGGGACAGGGCCTCCCCCGGAGGGTGGGGCCGAGGCTGCCGCTGAGTGACAGCCCCACACCAGGGTTCTAAGTCAGGGCCGGCTCACCACCGGCTCTGCGGACCTCACTGCGGCTGGCAGCTTTCTTCCTGCTGCTGGGCACTGGGGTTGGTCCGCCTTCACCGAAGGGAGATGGTGAGGCAGCCGTGTAGCCTACACTTACACGTCTGTCCTGAAATCTTTTAACTTTCTCATGATTTAAAAACAGATCCAAGACTGGGAGTTGAAAAACGATGGTTCCTGGAAGCAGCTGTCACGTCCGAGCCTCTTCCATGAACTCTTTTGTTAAGTTGATAGCAAACAGTTGCTGCTTTTCCAAGGGAGGGCTCTGTGAGGTCGCGTGGCTGGGCCGCACAGTTAAACGTGACCAGACTAGAGAGCAAGGACGTGCGCACCCGCCCAGTGAGCATTGGAGGAAGGTTCTGGAACACGCCTGGCCTCCGGGAAACTCTGCAGCCTCCCGTGCCCCCATTTCCTGCTCCCCGGAGGGATTGGGGTTTCCCTTGAACGGTCTCTTCACATCTGAACTCTCGGTCACGGAACTCGGTCCCAGCAGGAGCGACCTGGGCCGAGGGAGGTCAGCGCGTCTCATCATTTCTCTCCTTCCCACGGCTGCCGCCGGAGAGGCTTCAGACCGGGAAATGTGAGGAATAAAAACCAGCGCAGTGTATCTTGAATAACTTGAAAATACTTGTGCAATTTCCAAAATAAGTGAAACCAAGTGATGGACAATTAGAAATTCTGAAACCCTGACAAACAGCAATCACTTTGAAAACCTGCCTTCACCGGCAGGACCTGCGTGCCCCGCGCGGCCTGGGCTCGGGCTCCCAGAGGTCCTCCCACCGCGCCTGTCCGCCCTGCGGGACTTCTCTGCGCAGTCAGCTTAAGGAAAAGGGACTTCGCCCTGAAAAACAAGATCCGTGAGCGTGCAGAAATTAGATCCCAGCCTGAGTGTCAGAGCGCCGAGGGCCGTAGGAGTCTGTTGATGCTTCAAGTTAAATTGATTAGTGGCCGTCGCTGTTCCCCGGAGCCCAGCGCGTGCCAGGCGGCGCCGCAGGCCCAGCGCGGCCTCTGCGCGGGGAGCCAGGTGTTCAGGCAGGAAAGCCCCCGCCCTGGACGAGACTCTGCGGCAGCAGCGTCGGACTGATGCCCCTGGACACGAGGCTCCCCGTCTGCAGATGAACGCGGGGCGCTGAGGGAACCCCCCCCTCCCCAGTGGGTAGACTGAGTCCCTCCCTTGACTGGAAGATTCGCTTCCTTCACAGCCACTGGGGCCCCTGCCTGGCATGGCTGACACCCCCGCCCCGCCACACCCTGCTCAGAGTTACTCGCTGCTGGGTCGAGGTCAGCTGGGTCCCGCCACACCCGGCCCAGGCGCAGAGGGCGCGCGCTCCCGTGAGCTCCGTGCCCGCCGTGCGCCCCCTGCTTTTCTCCGGACACCGCCCACCGCTGCGCGCGAGCCGCCCCCCCGCCCCCGCCCACACGCAGGAGCTCACCGGGGAGGGTCTGACTCTGTCCATCCTGATCGCGGGCGTGTCCTCTGGTCCCCTTCTGGGCAGCCTGGCGGTGGCCAGTGTCCAGCGCGTCCCCTCCCCAGGCCAGGTGGCTGCTGGCGGGCTGTACCTGAGGACGCCAGCCCGCGGGCCCCAGGTGGGCACGGTCCATGCCCACCGCCGGGACAAGGGCCCTCCTGTCCCCGCGGCCGGCACCGCTGCTCTCTCCTGCCTCCTGCACCCCCTGAGCGTCCTGCTGGAGCAGGCGCTGTAACCATGGCGACCTCACTGCGCAGGAAGCCAGCGCTGTCGCCATGATGACGTCACGGGAGGGGAAGCCGAATCCCTGAGATACTCGTTTGCTTCCCTCTCCAGCCTCCAGCCTGGGCCTTCCTGTGACGGGGCGTGGCGCCTCTGAGCCCCGAATTCACCCCCAAATTTTCCCTTCCTGGGTTGATTGCAGTGCGTTGGCCGTTGCCAGCGCCGTCTGTATAATTTCCACTTTCTTAGGCAAGTCACGTAAACAAGTTGGCTTGAGAACTCGAGTAATTCTTAGGTTAATCATAGACTATATATTTAAGAGCTGAAGGAACTGAAACGTAGAGGCCTCTCCCTGCAGGCGCGCGCCAACCCCGCCTGCTGCGCGGATGCGCACAGACACCTGCGGCGCAGCGGGCGCGCCTGGGAGGCAGGTGCAGACGGCAGGTGTGCGCGGGCTCGCTGGCCCTGTGGGCGAGCTCGCCGCTCTCTGTTCCTCGTGCGCGCGGGCGCGCGCTCTCTATTTCTCTATTTGTCTATCCATCTCCCTCACACCTCCCCCTGCCAAGAATTCCTCCGGACTCCAGGGGCCCAGCAGGAGACGCCTTCCCACAGGCACCAGGTGCATTGGCGGGGCAGCTGCCCTGTTCCGAGTCCCGCCGCGCAGGCGCTGGCCGCCGCGGGGGTCCAGCAGGAGTTTCTGCTATGGAGGGAATGTTCTGGGTCTGGGATGTCCGCTGCCCAATCATTAGACACACGTGGGCAGGAAGCACAGGGCAGGTGGCTAGTCCAACTGGAGACCCGCATTCTTAATGCTATTTATTTTAAACAATTTAGATTTAAATAGCCGTGTGTTCAAGGGACTGCATAGCCCCACTGGATGCTGGACATTCATCACCCCAAGTCCTAGAGGCCCCTGAGTATTAGCTCCTTCCTGTCAGTGAAATCGGGTCTTTCCCAAAGCCAAACAGTTCCAAGTGCAGAAGTTAGGACAATGTTGCTTTCGGAAGGGGAGGTCCTCCCGCAGCCACAAGCACATGTAAACTATCGTTGGTCTTGCTGAGATTGTCAGTCATGAAACGAGAGAAGGTCTGAGCCTGAAAAGCAGCATTTCTCCCGAAGGTGCCTTTGCCGAGAGGCCACGTTCAGGTTCCTGATGAGGTGAAGGATGGGTCTCACAGATCCAGGGGGCGGGCGTCTGTCAGCACTTGGGGATGAAATTCTTGAGACGGCCGCGCTGGTTATTAAAGTTCAGGTGCCTGGTCTGGGTGTTGACAGAGCGGAGACAAGCTCCAGCCTGAAGCATTTCTCTGGCCCCAGGAGCGAGTTGGAGCAGGTTTCTCCCCCGAGCTCCGCCCTCCGATCGCAGCGGCCACGGAGCGCGGCTCCGGGAGAGGGCGTCTGCGGAGACCAGGGGCAAGACGCAGGCGGGTGTGTCCCAGCGTTTCGAGTGAGGAGCCCGAAAGGCAGGCGCCCGAAGGTTCTGTGCGACTGCTCCCTCTGCTGCTTCTTCACCTTGCCGCGCTGGGACGCACCGTAAAATCTGGTTTTCCTTAAGAAGGTTTTACTCCCACCTTCTCCGAAGTATGGAAAATGTCAGAAGATGGGTAACAGAGAAGGAGGCAGGGATGCTCTGTGGCCTTGGCTGCCCCCGGAGGGCAGGACCCCGTCACCGGCTCGGCACCTGGCCTGTCGCTCAGCAGTCTCAGAGGGCGGCAACCCCCTGCCCATTTTGTGGTGAAGGAGGCACGCGGAGGGGGCGGGACATTCGCGGAGCCGGGCGCATGTTCGGAAAAACGGTTAACGCTCTGATGTACCTTTGTGACTGTCTCTTGTGCAAAATGTGTCTTCCTTCCCAGCTAAACGTCTGGCGCTTCTGCCGCACCTGCATTGCAGGAAGCGGCTCAGCACCATGCACGGGCAGGAGACGGGCTTTTACTCTGTAGCGCTCAGTAGGGCGGCGTGTTCCCTTCTGGTCCGGGCCTGAGCTCCCGCAGCCTAATCCCGTTCTCAGGGACGTACGAGCTCCTCGCGACCTGAGCGGCGCCCTTGCGCCCATCAGCTGTAAGTGCATTTGAATTAAACGGCACGTCACGCAGTCGGCTGCCCCCCTCTCTGTCCCCATGCCCTTCCCAGTGTGACTGTCCTCCTCATCCTTCTTGACCAGCTGTGAGAGCAGTCGCTCCCAGGACTAAACGCCAAGACAGGCGCGGCCCTGGAATAGAAGCTGGTGCGCTTGCGCACAGAACGGGCCTGCCGGTGGCGCTCCTGTGGCTCCAGTGACGTCTGTTGCGTTGGCTTCCGGAGGCCCCTGTGTCCGTTAGCCCCGGGGCTCGCGCGTGTGCACGCGTGTTCGAAGGGCACTGCGGTCCCAGTTAGAGGCTCCATCCCTCTCTAACCCTGTCACGCCGTCCCTGCTCTCAAACTGGTCTTTGAAAAGCGGGGTTTTGATGACCTAGCGTGTACCTGCGTGAAAGCCATGCTCCGGCAAGGACCCCGCCGCCTGCGGTTGCGGGGCTCGCTGCTCCCTGATGCTTCTCTTTGTCTAGACCAGGGAGGGGCTGTCCGTCGGGGGGGCCCGCCCACCCCCACCCCAGGGGGGACATGCGTCCATGTCTGGTGGGCACAGCTGCAGAGTGCCACCAGCCTCCCCTGGGTAAGGACCAAAGATGCTGCTGAACACCCCACCACACACCGGACAGCCTGCGCCCCCAGCCGGGGCTCGCCCAGCCCAGGGCGGCCCCCACCCTGCGCCGAGGGGCCCCGGCCGGGCAGCCGAGCCTGCCTGGCGTGGACGGCCCGTCTGCTCTGACTCCGCACCACGGGAGACGCGCCCGCGAGACGGGCCACCTGACCTGGTCCTGGTGTCCCTGTCTGTCCATGTTCCTTGGTTCGCTCCCCAGAGCTGTCAGCGCGGTGCTAGTGTCTTCTGCTACTCACGCAAAGGCAGCCTAGAGCAAGAACGAGAGAGATCCTGTTTTTCACAGAACAAACCCAGAATGCTGAGCGATGTGCTCAGTGTTATAAAACCTGTTTTTATTACCCGCCCCCCACGCACGCACACAGTGGAAGGAAGACTTGCGATCTGACCCCTGCCTCCCGGGGGCCCCGGGCTCCCTGGATCCTCGCCTTTGGGGAACCCGCTGCCCTGTGAACTGTGGGAAGAGTTCAACACCCATCCCCCGCGGCTGTTAAGTGCAGTCTGGGGTCTTCGGTTTGAGCCAATTAGGCTTCCCTTGAATCTGACCAAAGCAAGTCCTTGTGGGGAGCAGACGCTCACCTGGCAGCACGCGGTGGGGCACACAAATGCCCCTTTGGGGGCCACATTTATGATCCCAGCCACGTCAAGAGGAAGCATTTGAAAGGCAGTGTTTCTCTAAGACATGCAAGAAGTACCCACTCCTGTATTTAAAGGAAATTTAAAAACCCTTCGAAGGCTGGAGCCGACAAATTCCATCCCGCGGTTTCCCGTCCGGGCCGCTGCTGGGCGCCGTGAGCTCCGCTCGCGCCAGGGACGTGCGGGGCCGGGCTGGGCCGGGCTGGGCCGGGGCCCCCTGGGGACCGGGGAGCAAAACGAAGCGCTGGGCGTGCAGCGCATCGCTTAGTTCATAGCGACTGTCGTGCCAGGACTATCGCGCCGCAAGCCCCATCTGTGTGAGGACGTGCTTTTAAACCTGACTCATCACGGCAATGTTCCCTCATTGCATTTTCCCTCCAATTATTACGGAAAAGTCAGGGGACTCTTCTGCAGGTCAGCGCACACGTACGAGGGCTAATGGAGGGAAAATGGGCACAGACAGCGAGAAGGAAAAAACCCTAATGGCTTCAGACGCACTCAGACACCTGCAAGCAGAGACCCAGCGCGGGGATGCGGGGACACGGGGCCCCGTCGCGTCTGCCGGATGCCGGAGCGGCTTGCTGCGTCCCGGAAGCCCTTCTCTCTCTCTCTCTCACGAACATTCCATCGCACTCGACACACGGCATCTGGGTTTTGTCTCTTCTGCGTGGAGGCATTGCATTTACTGAAAACGTGCTCTTCACAGGCATGTTTCGTCTCCGCGGGCGAGCAGCGGTAGCGGGCCTCGGAACACGCTGCTGTGTGGACAGAAACCAGTCCCCGGGTTTCCACGGGCGGCGCGCGCTTCCCCCGCCCCACCCGCCCACCGTGCGCACGCAGGTCGCCGGTGCTGAGAGGGCGCCAGGACCCGAGGCGGCGGGCGCAGCCGGAGGTCCTGCCTGTCCCCTCTACTCTGTCCTGCTCTCAGGTAGAAGAGGTCAGGGGACACACTGTCGCCGTAGGTCTGACGGCGCACGGGGCGGGGTGTGAGCGGCAGGGTGTCTCCCTGTCCGGCCTGAGCCGCGGACCCGGTCCCAGAGGCTGCGGCCACCTGACCAAGCTCCTCCCTTTGCTGCGAACGTCCAGCTTTTACTATGACCCTGAAACACCCTCACCTCCGAGACTCGGCGTGACCTCACCCACCACGAAGAGGGAAGGACGCGGCTCGCTCTCGTAGGAAGAGGCCGTAGGTTGGAAGCGGGGGGCTGATTTCAGATGTGAAAGCACAGAAACTACCTCCGTGTGAATAAAATGGGAGCTAGATTGTATGAATGAATTAGTTCCCAAATAAAACCATTGTTTTGTGCGTAGTGAAGACTATACTGATACCCGCGTAGAACAAATGTGGAACAAATACGCAATGTGAATTTATAGATGAGAAAAGAAACTACGGAGAAATATTTTTCTGTTCCAAGGTTTCCTCTCTTCTAAAGTTAAATAGGAAGACAGGAAAGAACAGACCGAGCCCCCGCGGCTCCCGCTGCGGAGGCAGGTGCTGTGCTGTCTGTCGGAACGGCCCTCAAGCCGGGTAAAGCCGAACAGCTTTCTCCGCGGCCCTGGCGGGGCCCCAGGCACTGTGAGGTTCAGGGACAGAAAGGCGAGAAGGCAAGGTCCCCGTTGTTATCAAGCAGGTGTCTGTGACGACGTCACGTCTCGGGGGAGTCAGGAAGGACACGGGCACAGGGAAGCCACGGAGGGGCTGAGGCCGGTGGCACCGGCCCCCCGACCCCTGCGGCTCCAGGGCCAGGAGGCAGGGGAGGGGCCCGGGCGAGGGACGGCAGGGAGTCTGTGGCTTGTCCTCCTAGGAAGGCTGTGGATGTTTGTCCCCGCGCCCGGGAGGGCCCCGGCTGCACCACGTCCCCCACAACCCCGGGAATTGTTTTCAACTTCGTCAGTGTGTTAAAAACAAAAACAAAAAAAACAAGAAACAACCAGGGCCGGGGTTAGAGCCAGCTCATTTGTCGCATCCAGGACGGTATTCAGCTTCTTCCGTGTGAACGTGTATCCCCTGGGCCGAGCGGAGGCTTGCGTGCTCAGGCCGAGGGAACGGCCAGAGTCCAGGCTCCCCCCCGGAAGCCCCCCGGGGCCCAGGCGTGTCAGACCGTGAAGGCCCCCTGCGAACGCGATCGGTCGTCGGCGTGGTGCGCGTGAGGGCAGAAGCACCGGGAGGCATTCTGTTGATAACACCTACTCTGTTTTGTTCTCCAGGACGGCGAAGCCAACAGAGCGGAGTCTGAAGGAAAGCGGGCCCCTCGCGAGCTCTCCCGGGAGGCCTCAGGAGACAGCGATGTGTTCGGTACGTGACAGCGTGGCGGGGGACACGGCTGGGCACGCCAGCCGTGAGCAGGGGCGCCCCGTCCGGGGAGGCGGGCACGCGGGTCGTCTGTGCCTCTCTCTGTTCTCGGGGTTGAAAGCGTGACTTTTCCTCCACCTGCTCCTCACGGTCCCTTCACCCCAACGCGACCACCCGGGGACTGGGATCCGTGCCCTCCTTGGTTTTGCCTTTTTTGGGTTTATTTTGCACATTTTTTTGTACACAGACACCGGGCGGGGGGAGCCCAGATTTTCCCTTCTTGGCGATGTTTCTCCGACTTGCTTGCTGGTGGGTGGGCGTCAGGAAGCCGGACGGGACCCCCAACGTATTGCGGACGAGGATGTGACGCTGGCCCGCAGCCCGGGACCGGGCGTCTGTTCCCGCTACAGGAGCGACCGGGGAGGGGCGGGGAAGCAGCGCCGCTCTGCCAGGCGGTCCTGTTCCGTGCGGCCAGCGACGTGGCCTGCCCTCCCGTGCGGCCGCCCCGCTCCCCGGACGGAGCGGACGGGGTCTCCTGAGGTCTGACGAGAAGGCGCGCGGCCCCACCTCGGCCTCGTGACAGTCACCCTGGGCGATCCACCCAGGACCCCACGGGCAGGCGAGACTCTGGGCGTGAGTCGCAGGTCCCTGAAGTGGCAGGAGAGGGCGCCGTGAAGCCCGAGGCCCCGCCGTTCCATCCCGGGGAGGCGGAGCCACCCAGACGAGGTCCAGGTCCCCAGGGCCGCCCAGCGGCTCGGCTGCTGCGGGCTGCTCCAGGGAGCCTCTGCCTGGGAACCTCCGAAGGGAAGGTTTCCCTACGCCCTGTCTGTCCTCCCTCCTGTAGCCCAAATGCACACGGATGTAAACGCACCCAAGGGAGGGACAACGTGCAGACGCCCAGCCTCAGGGCTTTAAATGAACAAGAGGGGCTTTTGTGCGCGGTTGGTCGAGCGCACTTACTGCTACAGCAAACCTCGCCTTTATGCCCCTCCCCCTGGCTAGTCGCTTTTAGGGTTGTGCGCAGCCACGCCAGCCCTCCTGTCGCTCTCAGGCGCACACTATGTGTGTGCGCAGATCTGGGGCGTGTCTGCCGGGTTCCGGGAAAGGGCCCGGGCAAAGCCTGGCCCTGAACCGAGGAGCCCGGCGCGGCCCCCCAGGTGCTGTTGCAGGCGGCCCTCGCGCACCTTCTCGAACGGATGCCGGGCGCGGAGCGCCGCCGCGCCGGCCTGGACGCAAAGGCCGGTGGAAGTGCACGTATTTCCGTCGAGTTGCAGACTTGGAGTTATCCCTTCGTGGCAAGAGTAGCCACAAGCGGACGGGGGCCTGCGTGGTGTCCCGCGGCTCCCTGGAGCCCGAGCCCCTCGCCTGTCTGTGGGAGGAGCGCGCCTGCCACGCTCTCGGCTGTCCCTCGCCGTCACCTCCCCACAGGCACAGCTGGTGCAACAGAGGGGAGGGGTCTGACGACACCCTCCCTGCGTCCGACCGGCACCAAGAGGCCCGGAGCCTCAGGGCCCCGCCGCACGGCCGGGCGCTGTCTGCCTTGAACCTGCTCGCCCGCCTTCCGCCAGCTCCCTGGAGCCCAAAGACGCCCCGGGCCGCAGGGGCCGAGCCGCCGAGTTAGAGGCGCTGCCCGCCTCCACTGCGGGATGCTGGAGAGGGCACGCGCCGGTTCTCTTTAAAGTGCCAAGTGTCCCCCACAGGCGACCCCGAACGAAGTCAGCAGCTGACCAAAAAACCAAAAAAAAAGGAAGAGGAAAAAGAAAGGCCTTTCCGTGACCAAACAGAAATGCCCCGCGTGGGACGGGGAGCCGGCCTTGGCGATGTCCGCAGGCCACGGGCCCTCAGCTCCCGTGGGTCGTTTCGTCCTCACGTCAGAGGCATCGGGGCCGGGAGGAAAGAGCAGAGGCCGTCGCCTGCCACCGACTCATTCCTGCCGGTCACACGGCCCCCAGGCTCCGTGTGCTGCTCTGCCGGCCCGAGCGCCCTCTGCGGGCTGAACTGGGGCCCTGGAGAGCCTGCGGGGGCCGGGGGGGGGCCGGGGGGGCGGAGCCCCTGCACCCCCCGCAGGCCGCACAGCAGGACCGGGCCGCGTCCTCCTGGCCCATCGCTGACCTGGCGGCGGGCGCTCCGGCTTTGTTGACTTTTCCATCTCATGGGAAAATCCCGCGGAAGGGCTGGTTTAGATCTAAGCAAAGAAGATGCCGGAGCGCCTTCTGAATCGCTTTCCGTGGCTGATTTTCGGACAGCGACCCCCGAGGGCGGTCTTGCCTGAGTGACCCAAAGAGAAAAAGAATGTTTCCAGGGTGTTGTCCCCACGTTGGAGGAGGGCGTTATGTTGCGGGCAGACTGTCGCTAGGCTTCTCTGAACCGGACACCCCACACGTGACCCACACCGTCCTGGTCGTTGGAAAACCTGGCAGGAAGGACGGTGCCGTCGCCCGCCCTCGCCGAGGTCCCTCCTCCGGGGTCCCTCCTCCGGGGCTCAGCCGAGTTCAGTGCCCTGAGCGGAGCCTCACGTCAGTCGTGCTGACCAAGGATTGAAGTCCCCAAAAGAGGGCGCCCTGCTCTCTCCGGAAGGCCTGTGGCTCCCGCCCCAAGGGACGCTCGGCTCCCGAGTCCGAGCTGCGAGGAGGGCCCTTCGCGCGGGATGAGGCCTGGCCAAGCCCCCAGGGTCGTCGGGGGACGTCTGATCAGGAGGGTGCTGCCTCCCGGCTCCACGGACGGCGCCTCGCAAGGCTCGGTCGTGTGCTCGCTGCCCACGGGGCGAGATCCTGCCAGAAACCATGGGGAGCCCGTCGGCCCGTCTGCAGCCCGACGGCCCTGGGGCTCGAGAGCAGAACTGCCACCCGCGTGACGGCCCCCCGTCCGGGGCCCCCCGGCGCTGCCCCGCCCGGCGCGCCGCCTCCAGTGCCGGCCGCCCCCGAGCCCCGCCAGACCTGCAGCAGCCTGTGCAGACGTTTGACTGTGTGCGTGGGACCTTTTCTCCTTTTGCCGGATTTTCTCTCTGAGGCTCATTTCCCTGACGGTGACGAGGTCCCGGGGGCCTGGGCTGCAGCGTCCGCCATGATGGAGCGACAGGGACGCCCCCTCACCCCCCACCCTGTCCCCTCCTTCTTCTGAGACAACCTCTGTACCCACAAAAGAAGCCACCCAGACCACGTGTCCTGCGGCCACGCGGGCGAGGAGCATGTGCGTGTCCGTGCAAGCGTGCACTATGTGGGCGGGTGTGCACGTGGGGGTGTGTTTGCACACACTTGCTCATCAATGACCCTTCAATGGACAGATCCCGGCAACACCCCATCAGTTACTTTGCTCTTTGATTTACGAGCTGCCGCGGTTGCCCTCGCTCCAGTGTCTCCATAGAAACGGGGTCTGCAGCCAGGGCTGCTGTTTTGGGTTCCGTTGTTCTGACCTGGAAATGTGAGTCCACCTGGCGGTGAGGCACCCCCCCCGCAGCCCCCAAGGGTCGAGGACAGCGCCCGGCTCCTGCCTGAGGCGCCCCGGGCCCGAGTCCTCCAGTGTCCGGCTTCCGCCCGTCCCGTGCCCCTGCCAACGGCGCCGCCCTGCCGGCGTCCCCGGCGACCTCGAGTCCAGGTGGGGACCGGGGAGCGGTGGGCTTCCCTAGGGACGCAGGTGGGGACTCGGCGGGGCGGTGCCCTCGCAGACACCAGAGGTCCTGCGGGCGCCCCGCTGCCTGAGGCCACGTCAGCCCGGCGCAGGGGACGCTGGGCCAGTTGGCTCCTGCCGGGCCCTCTGCGCCGAGGAGACCGAGCTCCACTTTCACATTCTCAAGACCGAGGTGTCTCCAAGGTGGGTCCCGGCCCCGCCCGCCCGCCCGCCCCTGGTCCTGGCCTTCAGCGTGCGGCGTGCACCTCGGGGTCACCGAAGGCCACCAGGGCCACAATGGGACAAGTGAACGACTTCCAGAACAAAGGGACACAGGCCTCGCCGGGGCACAAACAGCAGCTGCGATGGGCGTGGCCGGCGGCCTGTCCCTGCGCCGGGCCAGGACTCCGACGCCCCGCGCCCGCTGGGCCTCGGTCCCGGTTTGAAAGTGCCCGTGTTCCGTTCCCGCGGGAGACGTTGCTCTTTCGAATCCCCCCTGTGGCGCTGCAGCACCGTCCCCCGCCCCCGACGCCACCGCGCCCCACCCCGCAGCCGGGAGGGGCCGGCCCGGGTCTCATTTGCTCCGGTGACGGGCGGGCAGCCCCCACCTCCTCCTCTGGCCCCGAGAGCAGCGCCGTCCGCGCTGGCCACACTGGGGAAGCCTTTATCGGGGCAGAGGGAGCAGCTTCCCGGCCGGCCGCCCCCACAGTCCCGCCCGCCCCGCGGGGGTCGGAGGCCTAGGGCGAGAGTCCGGTCCGTCCGGGCCCAGCCCAGGCCCCTGCCCTGTGTCCCGGCCGCCTCGCCGCCGCCGCATCACTGCGCTCCACGGGCGCCGCTGCTGGGCCCGGGGCCCCTCGCCCAGCACCCAGAGGTTCGGAAGCAGCCGCGCACCTGTGCCGGCAGGCGACCTCCGCCACCTGCACTGCGGGGACAGTGGCCAGAGGGGTGGCGGCGGCTTTCACCACAGACGCTGGGCGCGACGCGGGGCCCGCAGGTGTGACGCGGCCCTTAAGGACATAAAAGGCAGTTCGGAGCTGGTCTCGTCCGTCGCCAGCCAGCGAAACGTGGGCGCAGGGATGTCATTTCCGCACATTCTGATCGGGACGTGTCGTGTTGTGTCCAGGCCGTTCCTACCTCGGGGCTGCGGCGCCGTGATTTTCCAAATTATAGGTCGTTTACTTAAGGAGGCTGCGTCTCTCAGCAGCGACCGTGCCCGGACGGCAGGATCTCACGCACTATCCGATTTCATTAGAAAATTCACCTCTCGTTGAAACTTTTTTTTTTTAATTGCTTTAGGAAATTGTGTCTTAATGTTCTGTTCCTATCTCCTGGGGCCTCTGTTACAGACAAGGCGGGCAGGTGCCAGGCAAGCCCCTGGCAGCCCCGAGAGCTGAGGT